GGGGGCGTGGCACATCTCATAGGCGTGGAATTTTTTATCAGCTATAACTTCGGAACCATAAGTCCCACGAACTTGAAATTTGGTATGCAGGCATGTCTACGGTAGGCGCTTATAGTATGGCATATATAAATGAGTTTGTAAAAGGGGGCGTAGCACATCCCATAGGCGTTTAATTTTTTATCAGCCATAACTTCGGAACCATAAGTCACATGAACTTGAAATTTGGTATGCAGACATTTAAATGGTAGGTGCTTATAGTAGGGTATATATAAAGGAGTCTGTAAAAGGGAGCGTGGCACATCCCATAGGCGTGGAATTTTTTATCAGCTATAACTTCGGAACCATAACTCACACGAACTTCAAATTTGGTATGCAGATATTTAAATGGTAGGCGCTTATAGGAGGGTATATATAAAGGAGTTTGTAAAAGGGGGCGTGGCACATCCCATAGGCGTGGAATTTTTTATCAGAATCAGGGCTGTTGTGGAAACCAAGCCGGATTTGCTCCATTGTCGGAATTCCAAACCAATTCCGATTTTAGAAGGTGTCACAGAATCTAATTGGATTTGGCTCTTTTCGAACATACACAAAACCCATATTCGAATCAGCTGTTTTGCTAAGTTCAATTCTTTTCAATTTGCATTTGTGAAGATTTTGACAAAGTTGTTGAAAAAATTAAATCAAAGTGAAAATTAAATAAAAAGCAATGGCCGCAGCAGTAGCAGCTTTTTTATTGATGCAGGAAGAAGTTTCTGAGAAGGTGAAACGGAAAATTTTAAGAGACCGCAGCAATCCGTTGGAGCTGCCAGAGTCAGCGTAAGTACATATCCTTTTTAAGCCCGACAATTTTAGTAACGCCTCAATTATCATACAGATTCATTGCACAATATCGCCTGAACAAAGACGCATTCATTATGGTGCTAGATATCGTAAAACCCCACTTGCCTGCATCTAGCATTCCACCATTGCTAAAGCTAGCGGCAGTCTTGCGATTTATACCAGAAGGTTCTTATCAGTGGTCGGTTGGGAATGACTCTGGCATAAGCCTAGGTAGAAGCACAGTGTCACTAGTTCTGAGTGAAGTGCTGAAAATTATGGAACGTTTAATTTGCCCTCGTTGGGTGAAGCTTACAATGGATAGCAATGAGAAGCTTAAATCGAGAAATTATTTCTACAGCAAATTTAAGATTCCCTCTATCATTGGCTGCATCGATGGGACACACATTAAAATTATAAAGCCTAGTGTGGACGAGCATTTATTTTTTAATCGCAAAGGATATTTTAGCATGAATGCTATGATTGTAAGTAATAACTATTTTGCTTAACGTGTTTTCCCCCAACTTGTTTCTACTTTCGTCTAAAGATATGCGACAGCGCTATGAAGATACGTGCGGTAGATGCTCGGTATCCAGGCTCCAGCCACGATGCATTCATCTGGAATATTAATGACGCACGGCAAAGTTTCCTTAGGGAGTACGAATCGGGCGATCGAGCATCAAGACTTTTAGGAGATTGTGGATATGGCATTGAGCCCTTCCTTTTGACACCATATAGAGACGCATTGCACAACTCTAAAGAGTACAAGTTCAACATGGCGCACTCTTCAGCTCGAAATATTGTGGAGCGTACTATAGGTGCGTTTGTTTATTTACAAATCCAAGGTATTGAATTAAAATTAACAATATGCGTACATATGTAGGTGTATTAAAAAGCCGTTTTCGATGTTTATTGGGGACGTTGCACTATTCCCCGGAAAAAGTAATACAGATTGTCAACGTGTGCTGTGCATTGCACAATATCTGCAGAAGCTACAACATTAATCTCTCCAACCAAATGAACCTGCTGTGGACAATGTTGTACAACCATCGAATCCATCGCTACAAAGTGAAGGGAAGAGAATAAGAGACGAAATAGCCAATAATTTGCAATAATTTTTCAAAAATTGGTTATTGAAACTAAATTATCTGTTTATTTCAAATGTTAACTTCAAAGTACCTGAGATGTTACAAATATACTTACATAAGTATCACGTGTGTTTATACATAAAGCTGTGGTCAAAGATTTAGCACCAAAATTCAAAATAATATTGTTTGGAACTTACGTTTAATTATTTATTTTTAATAATATTCATTTAAAATGTAAATAAATCTATAACAAAAAGCACATCAATAAAAGATTAAACGCTTGCGGAAGTTTCACAAAAATTTTATCAAACTTAAAAAAAAAGTAAAAATTACAAACTTTATAATCAGAATTTTTAGACAATTTTTGGGTACGCAGTCTTGTAGCCCATTAAATTCTTATTATAATTAGTCTTATAAAGTGCCAAATTCTAGTCCCTAAGAACTTAATTTTTTTTGCCAAAAGTGTTGAGCATTTTCTTCCATATAATGCTTGAACAAAATCTACTTTTATATGGAAGAAAATGCTCAACACCTATTAACTTTTATTTATGTGGTTTTTGTTATAGATTTATTTAGATTTTAAATGAATATTATTAAAAAAAAAATAAATAAACGTAAGTTCCAAACAATATTATTTTGAATTTTGGTTCTAAATCTTTGACCAAAGCTGTACATTGTATGTATGTACGAGTATATGTACATAAACAATAAAAACTCTTAAATTTTTTCTTATACTAAGAACGCAAGGTACGGTTTACAACGTTTAAATACTCTTATTATTTAAATTGAGATCACTAATAAATAAGCTGTCTTTATTCGGGAAAAATGAATTCTTCAGTCAATTAATTATTCATTTACCCAAGATTGCGATAAAGCCAATCATCACTTGAATAATACACCCCGTTGCTAAATTTTCAAATTATAAACTATATATGTACATACATACATATCGCACACGATCTTCAAAAGTGACACAACTCAAAATTTGGCATTTTCGAAATAATGCACTAAAAATGTACACAGAGCTTTTATTTACCTTTCAGCAAAAGCTGTAGCAAATTTTTGTTATAATTTGTTGAAAAAACCTAAGGTAAAGTCCTCCTTGCCCATATGATTAGCATGTGCTAAGAAATAGTTTTTCGCCTTTTCTGACGAACGTGTAATTTTGAGTTGTGTCTCTCTTGAAGACGGTGTGCGATATGTACAGAAGCTCACAGCCAAAATGATAAACCCGACAAAATGTTTATTTTGTTAAAGCACAAGGTTTTCCGTCGGCTATGCATTATCGCATATTATGCATTATCATTGCCAACATGTTTGCTCAGTTCGTTAGGTCCAATTATTCTGTAGACTTCCCTATAAGTGGAGACTATCCGTACGAGCTTTGTCCAATCAACTCTGCTTATATTCCAGTAATATCTTCCGATGAAGTTTTACACCATTTAAAAACCTTAAAAGCGTCATTTAGGCCAGGACCTGATCTTATTCCGACCTGTTTTCTTAAAAACTGCGCTGAGAACATCTGCGAGCCTTTAACAACTCTTTTCAATTTGTCACTAAAACATAGCGTTTTTCCGTCAGCCTGGAAGGAGTCTTTCATAATACCACTTCACAAAAACGGCAGCAGGTCCTCTGTAGAAAACTATCGAGGCATAGCGAAGCTCTCCGCTAACCCCAAATTATTCGAAGCAATTATTGTTAATCAGCTGACATATTCTATATCTTCTTCAATTTCACAATCTCAGCACGGGTTTTCTAAAGGAAAATCTACTATCACTAATTTATTGGAGTTTACAACTAATGTCTCAAACGGTTTTAGAGAATATGCATATACCGACGTAATATACACCAATTTCAGTAAAGCCTTTGACAAATGTCACTCGCTACTCATCCGTAAACTCGACCAAATCGGCTTTCAGCCCAGTCTTCTTCAATGGATCTCTTCTTACCTCTCTGATAGAACACAAAGAGTTATCTACTATATATTTGTGGAAGTATGGATGTATGTATGTATGTATGTGTCACGTTGCAGCCTAAACGGACGGACAGAATCGAACAAAATTTTGACAGAGTATTGCCATGACTCCTGGGCCTATAATAGGGTGAAAAAAATAGGGATCCTACAAGGGGGCGTGGCACCTCCATAGGCGTGAAATATTTAGTCAGCCATACTTCGGAACCATAAGTCACATGACCTTGAAATTTGGTATACAGACATATAAATGGTAGGTGCTTATAAGAGGTTATATATAAATGAGTTTGTAGAAGGGGGCGTGGCACATCTCATAGGCGTGGAATTTTTTATCAGCTATAACTTCGGAACCATAAGTCCCACGAACTTGAAATTTGGTATGCAGGCATGTCTACGGTAGGCGCTTATAGTATGGCATATATAAATGAGTTTGTAAAAGGGGGCGTAGCACATCCCATAGGCGTTTAATTTTTTATCAGCCATAACTTCGGAACCATAAGTCACATGAACTTGAAATTTGGTATGCAGACATTTAAATGGTAGGTGCTTATAGTAGGGTATATATAAAGGAGTCTGTAAAAGGGAGCGTGGCACATCCCATAGGCGTGGAATTTTTTATCAGCTATAACTTCGGAACCATAACTCACACGAACTTCAAATTTGGTATGCAGATATTTAAATGGTAGGCGCTTATAGGAGGGTATATATAAAGGAGTTTGTAAAAGGGGG